CTTGCCTAAGATCACCTGCCGCTAGCAGAGCAAGGATTCAAACCCAGGTGTGCCTCACGCAGATCCCACGCTCTTAACCACCAGGTGAGAACGTGCTGGTGGGCGGGCAAGCCAGGCGCCCCTCTGCTCACCGAGGCTCTAGCCTGGACTCTGTTAGCTCTGTCCTTTGGGGAATTAATTTGCTCGATGGTTTTAGGTTCTTAGTTTCAATTTTGAGCAACCAACCCTCCCAGTTTGTCAGGGACTAAGGGTTTTCTGGGACGAGGAACATTCAGTGGTAAAACCTGGACACTCCAAAGCAAACCTGTGGTCACCCTAGTTTTCATTTAGGGGTGTTATTTTTCGAACAATCTTATCTGACTCATTTTTGCATTTGCTATAGAAATTGCTAAGACCGCTATTCACTAAAGGGTCCTATGGCAGTTCCATTGTTTTCCTTGAAGAATTACTATAGTTCGACCCCCTTCTTTACTACGGAACCGACTTTGGGTCCCTCTATGCTCTTTTCTATTTTGATGTGTCATTCATATTTTCCTCTTTATTATATAAATTTCTGTTGATAACTAGTTCAAATGGTGAGTGGCAAGAAGAGAATACTGTGCATGCATAGATACTTTTTTTGTTATCTAAAAATCAATTCAGCATAAGATTATTTGATTAAATAATAGAATAACTACAGGCCTGAAGCATTTTCTTTCTGAAGTGCCAGTGTACTCAGTGGTGTCTCCAAGGCTGATACCAGGGAACACTTACTCCCCACTCTTCTCACTCTTCCATGTGGAGGAGCTCACAGTGGGGAAGCATCTGGCCTCACTCCACCTCCTCCACTCCCCTAGGGAAGAAGAGCCAGGTATCTGATTGGTGAATTTGGAGGAAGAAATGGCCTGCTCAGTTTAGCCCAGTGGTTCTCAACCTTCTGGCCCTTTAAATACAGCTCCTCATGTTGTGACCCAACCATAAAATTATTTTCACTGCTACTTCGTAACTGTAATGTTGCTACTGTTATGAATCATAATGTAAATATCTGATATGCAGGATGGTCTTAGGCGACCCCCGTGAAAGGGTCGTTCGACCGCCAAAGGGGTCGCGACCCACAGGTTGAGAACCGCTGGTTAGCCCCTTCCTCCCAGGAAATCGGCACCTGGCCCCAGAGGTGCTTCTGTGCCTCTCCATACTCCCGGTTCCAAAGGTGAGGCTTGTGATTTTCGCCTCTGCCACTGACTGGGTGCGAAAGTTTGTTTGGGAAGGCGGAACATTAGGAAGACTGTTTGGCCCCTTACATTTCACCATCAATAAAGCTGACCTCCTTGATCTCCATTCATTGGAATCCATCTATTATCTCTCAGATCTGGATGGGGAAGGAAAGATGCCATTGATGGATCCTCTAGAACCCTAACAGTGAGTGAGTACAACACTAAATTATTGGACCTCATAAAATTCAAACAAAAGTAGTTACCACTAAGTTTAAAGCATAAACAGGAAAAATTATGTATTTCACATTGGAAACTTAATATAGCTGTGAAGCAAATCCTTATTTTTCAATGCCACAACTTAAACTAGTCTTTAATGCCATTATATAAATTACAATTTAGCATTTTAGAATAGAATTGCTTAGCAAGTTATTTTAATCATTGTAAATGCTGAGGTTAGTAAAATAAAATAAAAACTCCAACTTCAGATATGCTAACATATTCCTTAAAGTTTATTGTGTAATAAACAGAAAACAAAATATGGTTCACATATTCACATCTACACCATCTTAATCCTCCATCCGCACAAGGGTTATTATAATCCAGTAGGATTATCTGCTGCCATCGGAGGCATGTTCTGTGGAGTTACAGCTAAGCTACCTTTCCATTAAGTCACTTTAACATCTACTTCATTCCATGTTCTACTCAGAAACAGATATACATCAGTGTGACTCACGTGCACATGGAAGTAAAGTCATATCTTAGCAAAGCATGGTTCTAACCCTTCTTTCCCCCGTCCCCCACCTCCACAAACACACTGATCCCATGGGACTGAGACCCTACATACAACAAATCATCGCATCCAATTTATTAAGTATGATTGGAGCAAACAAAGAGGAGATGCAGGTACTTTCTCTCTAATAAAAACCCTTTGTTTCTAAAGAAAGTAAATGCACTGCAATTTCAGAGTAGAACAAAAATTTTCCTATTTTGTTCTTTCATTTATTTGTTAAGTGAAGATCTTGGTGGGAGAAGGCAGACCACACACACCCATCTCACTGAAATCCATGTTGTCAGTAAATTGCAAAGCTGGATAAAAACTTAGAGCTTGTGAAATTTCATTAAAAAAATTTAAAAAGTTCCAAATCTGAACACAGAATGTGAACCCTACATAAATCTTTAGTGATACCTAGGGAGGTAGGTATTGGGAGATATGCGGGAATAGAAAAAATAATATTTGAAGGTTGCAAGTGGGAAGCAATGGAGAGGAAGAATAAATGTGAACCATATTTTCAGTATATCATTCTAAAAATGGATAATTTAAATTATTTCATTTATTTAACAGGCATTAAGTTTAGGGCAGCACTTTGGACACTGTTACAGAAGGTGTAGCAATGAATCAGAAGGTAGAACCTCTGCCCTCAAAGAAGATAAACAATTTTAAGGAAGAGACCTGTGCATGCATAACAAGGTGAAGACAGTATGTGTAAAATGACCTGATGCTCTGGGACATTCAGAGGAAAAATAAAATATTTAAAAAGGGGGAACAGGAAGGTTACATTCAGAGTGGATGGGTTTGGAATTCAGTTATCATTGAAGAGGTGAGTTCCTGAACATTTATGAGAAGAAAAGGGTCTGGCAACAGCAGAGGCACAGGAAAGCACAGAAAACCCTGAGACCAGATCAGCTATAACCTGAATAACATTCAGGGGACTAGTCAGAAATTGATTAGGAAGAGAACTTCACGTCAGAGTGTGGAGGCCTTGAACAGTGGGGGAAAGAATTCAGATTCCATGCAGCAGGCAGTGGAGAGCCACGGAAGCTTTTTGAGCTGGGAGGTGTGGTTGTCAAAGCTGTACTTGGGGGGATTCGTGTAGTGGTGGTGGACAATGGCCAGAGGATGGGAGAGACCAGAGGCAGGGAGGGTTCTCATATTGGTCCAGTGAGGGAGCAGGAAGACTAAGGAAGAGGTCGGTATTGGGAGATATGCAGGAGTAGAAAAATAATATTTGAAGGTTGCAAGTGGGAATCAAGGGAGAGGAAAGATAATGACTGACTTTTGAGCCTGGGTGATTGAGGAAACAAAGGTCAAGAGGAAAATCTGAGCTGAGAGAGAAAGACGAGGAAATCAGTTCGGGGCCATATCCAGAGTAAGTATAGCAGGGAGGTAGAAATACAGGACTGAGGAATTCGTTCCGAATTAATAGATGATAGGTTTAATAAGTAATAGATAGATTTAGATGTAACAGACAATATATTTTAGAGTGATCTACATTAGAGGAAAAGTTGAAGCTATTTAGATAGATTCACCAAATACAACAGAGAATATGTTAGACTTCTACCATAGATAAATAATTCAATATTTGTTTATGTCAAAAAATCGCCCATAGTATTTGTATCCTGTATCACTGTACCGCTGTGAGATGCACCATTGGATCAAGACAAAATACCTGAGAGCATACAAGTAGCTGGAATGGGAGTCGGCTTACAGAGACTAATAAAACCACAATAATATATGGCACTTTACAAATTCATTCCTTGGAACAAATTTTCATCACTGAAGTCTGCAAATTGAAATACAAAGCAAATCTATTCAAATCCCTTATACCAAATTAAATCAATTTCTCTTTTCCATTGAAATCAACATTGTTTTCTCAATAACCATCAAGAATATTAACTTAAGTGTCCATTGTTAATTAGATAAAAATGATGTATATCAGTGATTCCCAAAGTGGGCGCTACCACCCCCCGGTGGGCGCTGCAGCAATCCAGGGGGGTGGTGATGGCCACAGGTGCATTTGGGGTCGATGAGTAACTGCTATTAAAATTTTAAAAAAATTAATTTCCAGGGGCTGAGTAATATTTTTTCTGGAAAGGCAGCGGTAGGCCAAATAAGTTTGGGAACCACAGATGTATATTGTTACACATATATACAATGGGATGCTACTCAGCCATTAAAAGGTAACAGGGAAAAAAAAAGATAACAGAATCTTGCCATTTGCGACAACACTGATGGATGTACCTTGAGGTCATTATGCTAAGTGAAATAAGTCAGATGGAGAAAGACAAATACCATATGATTCCACTCGTATGTGGAATCTAAAAAAACAAACAAGTGAACAGATAAAACAAAACAAAAAACCAAAAACCTCATAGGTACAGAGAACAGATAGGTGATTAGCAAAGGGGAAAGAAGTTCAGGTATGTGAAGTGAGTGAAGGGGGTCAGTTGTGTGGTGAAGGATGGTAACTAGGTTTTTGGTGGTGATCACTTTGTAGCATATACAAATATTGAATTAAAATATTATGTACCTGAAATTTATATAACATTACATACCAGTAAAAGAATGTATATTATTTTTTTTAAAAAGAACATGTATGAATTACCATTAAGAACAATGTATTTCATAAGAGTACTAACCACAATCTTGATCTCCTATGAACACTGATAAATGTTATGTTTGTATGCTCTTAATTGACACCACCTGTGACTCACAAACATACCTCCATACCTTACTTTACGTTAACTTACAATACCCTTATATCAGCCGTGGGCAAACTACGGCCCGCGGGCCGGATCCGGCCCGTTTGAAATGAATAAAACTAAAAAAAAAAAAGACCGTACAATGTATTTCATAACAGTACTAACCACAATCTTGATCTCCTATGAACACTGATAAATGTTATGTTTGTATGCTCTTAATTGACCAGTTTAAGAACCCATTGTGGCCCTCGAGTCAAAAAGTTTGCCCACCCCTGCCTTATATTGAGCTACTCGGCAAGAATTATTCACCATCCAAGCCTTACCTGTTCATGGTTTCTCTGAAGGGCTGGGTTTCAGATGTTGGACTTCAGAGAAAAGGCTCACATCGATGCCATACAGTGGATCATCCAAAAAAGAAGGCCTCCTCAGTCTTCCAATGCCCAGAGTCTTCGACATAAAATAATCCTCTGTGTCACGAATAACCTCGTCCCGGGGAAACTGGAGGCATTTCATGTTCTCAGCTTCAATGACAAGAGCCTGTGACACGTAATGCCCAGTCAGGGCTTTGCTGAGATAGTAGCCTATGGATGTTCCACATTCTGCATTCTCGGGCACATCTGCATCTCCCACCTCGGTGCTTCTGACCTTTGTTTCTGACTCAGTTAGTAACTCAGAGAGGACAGATCTGGAAAGCTGGGGGGACTCAGGTGTCATATCCTCAATGTCTTCCTTTTCTCTTTCTGAAGAAAGTCCAGTCATGGATTTTTGTTTGAATGTGCATTCATCCAGAAGACGCCTTAACTGTTCCTCAGAGAGAAGTGATGCTGAATCTAACTGATGAAACAAGCCAAAAGTTTTCATAGTCAACTGAGTAAACATTTATTCCTGGTGAGCTTCCAGTAATACAATACAAATCCAAGTGCCCTGAAACCCCTTACACAAAACACTCAAATAGCAAAATCATTCATGATAAGGTATCCAAAATTGCAGGAGAAATGTACAGCATCCCTAGAAAATAAGATTAGAATCAATCACATACTAAAATACAGGGAAAAGTCCCACAGCACTGATGGAAATTAATTACTTCACCAAATAAACCAGTAACACTCGACACATATCAGTAACTTGAGCTGAAATGGAGTTATTAGAAAGCACCTTCAATTTTATAAATCTTGGAACATCAAGCAGGGAAATGAGCCACCACCTCTTTGATAAAGAGCCAGGAATCCTGCCATAATCTCCAGTAGTTGTTTCTCTGCCCCCCTCCCCACCCCTGCTCTTCAGTGGGAACCCTATCACCACCCAATTCCTTAACTGGAAAAAAATCTCGGGCAAACAGGGCAGATTACACCTGCCCCTGGGGATTCACCACTCCTATGTCTGTCCACAACTCTCAGCAGACAATACCACTGAAGACAGAAAAGGAAGGGTGAAGGGGTGGTGCATCCTGAGATGTATAGTTGTGTCAAAGCTGCAGGTCTAGACAGAGGTCAGGGGGATTCCAACAGCAGTGTATTCTGGGAGAAGGATATGATCAAACACATTTAATTTCTGCTTGTGAGGTTATAGGGCTGGGTGTTTCAACCGACATCTTAAGAATTTAAAAACATTTTTTTTCTTCCAGAGATGTTCTCAGGAAATAAAATATCAAATAAAAGTGTAGGGCAATGTTCTACAAGGATTCAACTAAACAGCATGCCACTTGAATTACAACAATCTCAAAAAGAACAGGATTAAAATATATTGAATCACACTGAAAAAAATCCTCTAAAAAATCAGCACCATCTTTGATTTTTTTAAATATGTTTTTATTGATTTTATAGAGAGAGGAAAGAAGAAGGATAGAGAGATAGAAACATCAATAGGCTGCCTCCTGTACACTCCAACTGGGGATTGAGCCTGCAACCCAGGCATGTGCCCTTACCGGGAATCAAACCGGGAACCTCTTAGTTCTTGGGTGGATGCTCAACCACTGAGCTACACAGGCTGGGCTATCACTAATTTACATCATGTATTATCTAGAAAAACTTTAGTCCTCCTTTACAGGGGAATGAATCAAAGAACAGAAAGTCCCCATAATAAACCCTAAATATTAATTGCAATGGCCTTAAGTTCTACTTCACCATAGTTAGACAATGCTATTGGCCTATTTTGTGGTACACCATAAGATTTAACCAAATATTCTGCATATGTAAAGTACTGGGGGTAGGGGAAGGGAGGGAAATGCTACTATTAGAACTGGTATAGTCAATTCCTCATTACTGTGAAATGCTCCTAATGCAGCTAATAAAAAATAGTATGCAAAACAAATTTTGTATCATGAGTTTAAAATATAGCATGTGTTTTAAAATTATATTTAACTTCTATAAATTAAAAACTAGTTCTCATAGTGGCAAGTGTCATTATGAGTTTGAGAGTAATAAGAATTTGTCTGGGAATATATTCTTAATAATTATCTGGGGTTCAAAATTCATGTAATTCACCCTAAGGTTAACAAACCTGTCAAAAAAATAGGAACTGAATTATATATTCACAAATCCTACTTCATTCACTAGATTTCGGGCATCCAGGTGTGGTGCTTTATCCATTAGGAGCACTCCCCTCACCCTACCATGTAAACCTAGTCAACTATAAAATGAAGGCCATCCTTATATGGTACAGGATACTCAAAATACCCTTCAAAATCTGCTTATGTAAAATAGTTCATAATGGCTAGACAATTCCTAGAATTCAGAAAGGGTCCACTAAGTGTCATCCTCACAGAAGGCTTATCATATGAAATTTCCAGATGCTAGGAAAAAAACAGTCCATACTGGAGCAAGAAGATGAAGAATTATGGAAGGAGGTCTGGGGGAGGGGGTGAGATTGGTAGATTATCTGATATGTTTGGCCACTTCCACAAACAATATTGATAAGATAGCCGGTTGACAGTTCTGATGATGTATTTGGCTAGACACGCAAAAAAAAATAAGTAAAAACAAAGCAATTATGAACTCTGTGAACAAAAAGCTGTATGAAAAGAAAGGTAGTATTTCAGACAGATAACACAGAAAATTAAGCAAAAGAAAATAATGTAATTATTAACTCTAGGACAAAAAGTTGTACAAGAAAGGATGCCATAGGATACTACTTGTTTTTGCTATAATATTTATACAGTCACCATAATATGAACAGTGATGCTTGAGGTAACCAAAAGCTGTGATTTAACTGGTTAGGGAAAATGGGAGGAGAGAAGAGGGATGTTTGGAGTAACAAAGTTAAATTCTTAGCTACCATCACAGGAAGTCATGTCAATAATAACACCATTACTAATATAAAATTTCCTATCATTATAAATAGATATAAAATTGATCAATTAAAAGAACAAGTTATTATGAAACAAGATAGAGGTAAACAGTAGGGGGAACATCTAGAGGAATTAAAAGTGGCTGATTCTGGAGAACAAACTAAGAGGTAGAGAAGGGGAGGCAAGGAGCTGCCATTTTTGTTAAAACATAGTGCTTTAATTTTTGATTAGTAATAATTAAAATTAACTTAAAATATAAAATTAATTTAAATGTTACATATATTTAATAAAAATGAATTTAAAAATAAAAATCTGAAATATTAAAATGAAATTCCCAACCAATGATATCTTTGGACATAAAGAGCAAATCTAGGTTTCATGGAGGCTGAAATGTATATAATCTTGGAGCAAGGGGAGGGTACATCTTTAAGAAAAAGAATATAAAATTATAAATATAAAATAGGTACAAAGTGAGGGAATTTTTTTTAGAATTTGAAATATCACAAGTTACTGGAGCCTTGGAAAGTCTAGTCCATTTCATACACCAGCTCTTTACATCATTTACCAGAAATGCTTATAAAGAAATTAGAGGCCCAGTGCACGAAATTCGTGCACTGGAGGTGTGTGTATGGGGGGGGGGGGGGCGGTCCTCAGCCTGGCCTGTGCCCTCTCGCAGTCTGGGACCCCTCGCTCCTTACCGCCCACCTGCTTGCTGCTCTCTACCGCTCGGCTTGCCGCTCCTTACTACTGCCGCAGAGACTCCCGCCACTGCCACTGCGCTCACCAACCATGAGCCCGGCTTCTGGCTGAGCAGTGCTCGCCCTGTTGGAGCACACTGACCACCAGGAGGCAGCTCCTATATTGAGTGTCTACCCCCTGGTGGTCAGTTCATAGCGACCAGTCATTCCACCATTCAGTCGATTTGCATATTAGGGTTTTGTTATATATAGGATGTTTCCTGATTGCATCCTAGCTCCCTCTCTCCACTCAAGGTTCAGTGAGGGGCCTTCTTTGGGATGCCAAGCTTGACAAGTCCCAGATCCATAATATTGTCCTGATGGGTGGTTCTACCCATATCCCAAGGTTGAGAAACTGCTACAGGACTTCTTCAATGGAAAAGAGTTGAGTAAGAGCATCAACCTGGATGATACTGTTGCTTATGGTGCAGCTGTCCAGGCAATCATCCTATCTAGAGACAAATCCGAAAATGTTCAAGATTTGCTGCTGTTGAATGATACTCCTCTTTCCCTTGGCATTGAGACTGCTGGTGGAGTCATGACGGTTCTCATCAAGCACAATACTACCGTTCCTACCATGCAGACACAGACCTCCACGACCTACCTCTGACAACCAGTCCCGTGTGCTCATTCAGGTTTATGACAGTGAGCGTGCAACCTGGTAATGATGCATAACCACCTGAGTGGCAAGTTCTCATAGGCATACCTCCTGCACCTCCTGGTGTTCTTCAGATTGAAGTGACTTTTGATATTGATGCCAATGGCATTCTCAATGTGTCTGCTATGGATAAGAGTTGCCATCACTAACAACAAGAGTCATCTGAGCCAAATCTCATAGCAATATCTTTACTGATACATCTCTTAGGACAATGGAAACTAAGGAGAACATAAACAAATGGGACTACATCAAGATAAAAAGCTTCTGCACAGCAAAAGAAACCATCAACAAAACAACAAGATGGCCACTGCATGGGAGAACATATTTGCCAATGTTATATCTGATAAGGGTTTAATCTCCAAAATTTATAGGGAACTCATACAACTGAACAAAAGGAAGATAAACAATCCAATCAAAAAATGGGCAAAGGACCTAAATAGACATTTCTCTAAAGTGGACATACAGAAGGCCACGAGACATATAGAAAACATGCTCAAAGTCACTAACATCTGAGATGCAAATCAAAACAACAATGAGGTACCATCTCATACCTGTCAGAACGGCTATCATCAACAAATCAACAAACAACAAGTTGCTGGCAAGGATGTGGAGAAAAGGGAACCCTAGTACACTGCTGGTGGGAATGCAGACTGGTGCAGCCACTATGGAAGACAGTATGGAGTTTCCTCAAAAAATAAAAAATGGCACTTCTATTTGACCCTGTGATCCCACTTCTAGGAATATATCCCAAGAAACCATAAACACCAATCAGAAAGGATATATGTACCCCTATGTTCAAAGCAGCACAATTTATAATAGCTAAGATTTGGAAACAGCCTAAGTGCCCATCAGCAGATGAGTGGATTAAAAACTGGTGGTACATCTACACAATGGAATACTACACTGCTGTAAAAAAAGAAAGAACTCATCATTTGCAACAGCATGGATGGACATGGAGAGCATTATGCTAAGCAAAATAAGCCAGTCAGAGAAAGATAAATGTCACATATACTCACTCATTTGTGGAATATAATGAACAACATAAACTGATGAACAAAAATAGATCCAGAGATATAAAAGCATCGAACAGACCATCAAACCTCAGTGAGGGGCCTTCTTTGGGATATAAAGAAGGAAGGGGAGGGTGGGAGTG